AAGACTGGTTTTGTGGTCTTGTTTTTTTTTTTTTTTTGAGGTTTTTGAGGATTGCTTTTAAACCCCCACACATAAAGGTCCAATTATGCAGGCAGGTCAATAGTTCAATCCACTAACACATATACATTCTTACAACTCTTTCAGATTTGTCAGCTTGATTGCTTGCTTCATACTACATTAATGACGATAATGTTTCTATAAAGTCTGCTTGGATGTGTTGTTTTCCATTTTATGTCTATGTTTTTATTCACTCCTTTTTAGCTGGTGGATGTCTGTCCTGATGACAGTCAACCCTGAATTGGAAAGATACTGTGTTTTTTACTGTATTTGCAGGTATTGTTTACAGCTATGAGAGGATAAACAGAAACTGATTGTAAGATATTTTAAGTATGTGACAAGCAACAAATTAATTTCCTGGTCTCTCATGCACAACAGTGAGTACTTTATGCAGACCAGTCAGTCTGGGCATGATTTTGAGGTTGGCGGGCATCAAATCAGCAACATTCCAGTTTTCAGCCTGTAACAAGCTCCGAACATGCCCCAAACAAGCCTGAAAAAGCCCTAAATGCCCAAACAAACACTAATAAAAGTCCTGAAACAGCTTTCTCTCCACCCTATTTGTGCTATTAGTTGTGAATTTGATTGGGTGCTTTTTTATTTGGGTGGCAGTATATGTTGAGAATGATTAGTGATTCAGTGGCCTCATATGAACTTTTTGACTTAGGAAGTGTTACACTATGGTCTACAAAGAATGCAGTATGACTTGTTGACTTCCAAGAATATTTAACACGAGAGTCTTCTCCATCCTCTCCAATTTCTCCAAAAACCAGCCTTTACAGAACAAATGTATTTATTATTCCTAGTTTTAATTCATTGGTGAAAGGTTACTCACACTTTCCATTCAAAAGTAAAACCTCATCCCACCATAGATTATTGGGCAGAATGCTATAGTTAATGTAAACAATAGCACCTCTGAGGAAACTGCCTGATAATTCTTATTTACTTTTATTCTCTATCTCTGATTATATGTTTTTGTTTGTTTGTTTATGTGTTTAGTAGTTTTAAATATGGTGCAAATATATATTTTCCTTCTTTTGTTTCTTTAAGACCAGACACAGAGGCTTTGTCCTTGAATGTTATCTGAGTGAGATAATGAAGAGTTACTCCTCACTTTTCGCTGCACCTGGTGTTTAATTTTGATCTTTCTCATTATATTCAGAATATCAATTTGTTCACTGCATACCATATTTTCATCATACAGTCACTGTTTCATATATTTACTGTATTCCTTATATCTTTCATTATTCTTTTACAAACAATATTATCAGTTAATCGTTATATTTTGTTTAAGGATATAAGCTTGTGTTTTATGCCTATGTTATATCCTTAAGAGATACTCCTGCTTGTATCTCCATAGATGGTACAGTTAATATTTTTATGTTATATGTCCATGTATATATTGTTTATTTTGTTTTCTTAAGTTTTTTTTTGAATGTTTATCCTGTTTACTTGAATATGTCCTCACAGAGTATATGTTTTATGACCTAGCAAGGTTAAAAGCTTAAGAGGAAGTTGATACCGGGGTTTTTTTTGCGGTGGAGATATTACATTGCATGCCCATTTCTTAAATGGTATTAAAACTCAATTTCTTAATTCAGTACTCTGTTTGACTGATGAAAAACATTGTCACAAGGACCTGAAGTATCTGCAAGAATATTTCAACTTTGAAATAGGCCTACTGCAAGACATCTACAGGGAAGAAACGTTGTTTGTAAAATTGAGGTAGGCTGGGAAAATTTATGTTGAAAGTTGATTAAAGAGAAAATAAATGAAGGACCCTTTAAGATACTGAAGATAATGTCAAAAGCACAAAATATGTTCATTCTTGTAAGTGGTTTATTAAGAATACATCCTCCAGGCCCAGAGAGGTTTTAGGTTGTTAAAAATTTCGTTCTACTGACACCTACAGGGTGAACGCTGTATAACATTCCAGAGTCTAATTACTTTATTGCTTCAATTTTCATTCAAACTCAATGCTACATGAGTCTAGGTAACTATCTACAAAACATAGCATTTAATAAAAAGCAGATATAACGGCATGCAATTATTCAAAATATTAAAATAGTGCAACAATCTTTCAAATCAAACTAACAGAAACAGAGCCAAACCAGAGATTTAAATCACCTTAAACAGTTAAGAACTCACTCCACAAGAGCCAATGATATTCCCATGCTCAAATGTGAATAATTCCCTATATATATGTCATACCACATCTATATCATTTGCTTTTCACATTTCTCTCTTCTGTACACAAAAATAGTTTTTATCATTCAAGAACTGGTGATTTAACCAAAGCAATTAATAAGCTAATAAGGTTTTAGGACAAGCAAAAAGAGAAAAAAACGTGTCTAAAGACTTCTCCCCAATGCAGCATCCATTCCTTTGAGTATCTGCTTTTCTTTTTGTTTTGTTCCATAATTTTCTCTCCCATTCATGACTCATTCATGACTCACTGAGGTTGATCACTGAAAGAGAAGGGGGCAAAACAGTTAAACAGTTAATGATCTACACATACAGAATTAATCCCTCTGTATCTACATGCATTTGTTGTTCCTACATACTGCATTAAACATTGAAGGCCAAAAGTCATCAAGAAAAAGCTCACATTCAGTTAATAAATGATTATTACTCACATAGTTTCATAAGAGCTGTCTTTTGTTTTGAGGAACCGCATGGCAAAAAAAGCCCCAGCCTGCAACACCAACACCAGGATGATTCCTCCAATGAAGCTGGACAGGTCAAATGATGCTTGAGAGAAACCAGGGCCTGACCCAGGGGTTGTATCTGTATTTGTGATTGTGTTATGAAAGAAAATGAAAAAAGAGAATGCAATAAACAACAACAAAAATAGGCATAATAGGATTTATACAGTGAAAATCAAATGCCTCACCTTTGCCACCACCATCAGCGGATCCACCATCTGCTACAATAAACAAATACACACACACATTAATTTGCATACACACACATTAATTTGCAAATATGCACATTTTTGCTCACTTTGGCACATGCCGGTCTCATTGTAGACAGAGCAGCCCCCAGAGTCTTCAGTGTCAGACATGCATCGTGTGTCATTTCCTGAAAATGAAATACATAATACTGACATTCAGTCACTGTCAGGTAAGAAGGGAATTTATCTGTTTTATTACATGGCTCTCTTGAACACTTGATTCTGATCAACAGAGTTCAATAGTAATTTTCACAATGACTTTCAATACAATAACTGAGTTTTTTCTTCAATAAGACGTTTCGTCAGCTGGAAAAAAAACAATATGTTGGTACAACCCAACAACAGTAAAACCCATTGAACGCTGTACTTCTATCCCTCATAGAGCCTTTCATTCCTTTGAAAAATTGAAAATGGCGCTACCCTGACTAAGATCTATGGCGCCATTCAGCGGTCTGATATTTTTGATATTTCAAGTGCTCAAATCACCGGCACTGTTTTTTCTGAACAAGTCCACGAGGGCTGACTTATGAGTTATGTATCCTGCTTATTTTTTTTAAAAAGAGCGGACAAGGCCATTTTTTATTTAATTTAAATATGCGAGACCTCCGGTGTCAGACGCTTCCGATTGTTTTAACTGCACAAAAACAGTGCAACACACTGGTTTGTTGAACAACTAGTTGTACCGTTTACAGCACGTGTTTCATAGGCAACTGACGCTATCTTGAGTCACAGTAATAGGCTACATACATACTTTGAAATGTAGTAGGCGAAAAAACAGTATGTGAAAAGTACGTAAAGTTTTCATAAAACAGTAGGCGAAAAGTTCCCGGATGACCTACTTCTAGCGAGATTCTAAAGTGTACATCTTATGGACAGTTTACTATTGCGTGAGGCCACAAGAGAGGATTTGTAAATGGAAGTGAAGCGACACAACTGGTAGGTAACATGACAATGAAAACATAATGCATTTAGGATTACAATCATAGAAAATAATATCAACTTAAATCAATATTTCAAGTCATGTATTTATTTATTTGACAAGTAGTCGAGTAAAAAGTGCTATAATGTCATTCAGTCTTTGTTTTCTAAACATCCTGTTGGTTGTTTATTGTAGTGTGTAAAGCAAAGGTGAGCATGTAAACCTAGTTGTATTTTAGATATGAGTCTAAAAGAGCAAGAGAGACTGGGTTACAGAGTTGGTTGCCTTGGCAACAGAGCATGAATAGACTAAACGAAGCTGCTTCTTGTTGAACATCTCCCTCTCTCTCTCTCTCTCTCTCTCTCTCTCTCTTCATGTCTCCTCACATGTTTCCAGGAGGGTAGATAATGGTGTTGAATTATTTACTAAGACTGATGTCTGTGCTGTAACTGCGCGTGTGCCTGTGTTTGAATAATTCACCGGGTTGTTCCTGAGATCGCTCTCCGTGGCTAGGATCACATGTCCTTCAGTGGGATCCTCTGTAAGTGTGTGTGTGCGCACAAACAACAAAGACATTGCACAGGAGAATACATTTTAACTCAAATGCTACATGTATTTTTTTTATTTTTTTTTTTACCGTCATTACAACTTTGCCACACACATCGTGTCAGGTTGAGGGCCGAGTCTCCGCTGATGCAGCCATTACACGAGTCAAACTGAGAACAGTTCCCAATGGATGAATCTGTCAGTCCATCTAGAGATAAGAAGTGTAAGCTTATATTCTCACCTGCTCACATGACACTCACATATGTTTGAGAGAGAAAGCTAGAAATGTTATCAATTAAATGAAAGATACATAACATTGTAAAAGAGAGAAAGAAATGTTGTGCTGTTCTGAATTGATACAGCTGAATCTCTTAATAAATGTAAGTGTTTTTCAGCAGCACTCAAATGCAAAAGAACAAAAGAGACTTACCACAAGACCTGCTTTTCTAACTAATGCTGTCTTTTTTTTCTCAGACTTGACAAATTTGACTCTAAACCCGTGCTTTAATACAAGAACTGATTTATCAAAACTCACAAATAAAATATTTAGGTTGATGTTTAAAAGTTTTTAAATAACTAACATTTATTTTTTTATGAGCTAAAATCATTAAATAGAATGATTAAAATAACAAAAAAATAAAAGTGAATCAATTGAATATGGGCCAGGAATCGAAGGAAGTTAGATTTGCAGAATGTTAACATTTTAGCTAAAAAAAAAAAAAAAAATTTTTTAAGGTTAAGATACTTAAGCATGATATACAAGCTCATTGTTGTATTGACACTTACCTGAGGTTTGTGAATTGGTTATAATAACCTGCATTAGCAGTACAGTCCCACAGAGTGCGGCCCACACACACCTCATCCTCAAAAAATCGTCAGTAATCCCACCTGTAATAAACAAAAAATGTGAGCACAATGCTCAAAGCTCCTCATTTAGAACAGACAACGCTGACTTAAATTATCAATAAAGCGACCACATATGACTGAAACACTATTTAGCTTTGAATCAGTCTAACAATCTTAACTTTTTCTAGTCAGACTTACTCTGCTAAACACTGACTCCAATAATGCAACTAAAGTTTGATACAAGCACTAGACACCAACAAGTTGAAAATAAAACACTTAACGAACTGAGAAACAACTTAACCTCGCTTCAGAAAGCTTAAAACTAGTAACTTAAAGAGTAAAAGCCATAAACACACACGTGCCTGTCAAGCTAATATCCAGTCCTAAATGTCTGTGTCCTCCAGACGAAAGGTCGTTGTGAACTGTGAGGAGCGTGTGTGTGTTGACGTCATGCCCTCTGATTCAGTGAGACTGGAAGGTGTGTAATGTGAGACAGGTAACATGGCAACCAAATGGCAAATGACCATGTCTTGATATCCACACCACTGAAGATATTCTGCCTTTTCACAAGCAGACTGCAGAAACTTGTCACACCTCACTTCCAGCAGATGCTGGTCTCCTGTGCCACCAGACCATTATAAACAGTCACCAGCATGTCCATACTGGTTCTTTTTGGCCTTCTTTCGGTTTGATTGTCTCTATGGTGGCCCAGAAAAGGTTTTGAGATAAAGCATTGTAGGGTAAAAGACTAAAAGGCTGTGTGGATGCAATGTTTTAAATATATTTGAAATACACAAAAAAATGTTAATCTAATGTAGGTTTTTAAAATATATTTGCATAAATATATTTTCAATATGTTTTAGTTACTTATATTAATTACTTATATTTCCTCATTTATTTTTTGGCCATTTTATATGTGATTTCTTGTATATTTTCACACGAAATATATTATAACTATATTTACACAATCCAACATAAATTAAAAAAAAAAAACATTTTGTTTTTACGCAAAATGCATTTTGAAATTGGAAATGTTTTTTCTTGCTCCACTGAAGTACATTTTGTAATATATTTTGGCATTTGAAGGTTTAAACTAAAGCTGTGCTTTGTTCAACACAATTATTGTACATTTGAAATATCTTTTAGCCAGGAAAAGCAAATTTTTTGCTTCATTTAAGAACAGGGCCAGAGCAAGAGAGCCAGAGTTTGGCATAGTTACATAACAAGTTCTTCTTTCTCTATCCCTCAAGTCCTCTGCATCCTCGCATCCTCGTCCTCCTGGATGCTCATTTTTTAATTGTAATTAAAAGTCACAGCATAATAAACTGAGCAGAGGAGGCGATGATATAAGGAATGTATATGTGTAGGTGTGGGAATGCATGCTTATGTAGGAGGAAGCAGTCTATCGTTGCCACATCTGGGATCAATGCAAATCAGGTCAGCATTTGCTTTTACAATAAATTCAGTGCCTACCCACTGTTCAGTTAAAACCCACTGAAAATCTCCCTAACCCACACCATCACTCCTTATACTGTTGTGTAATGTCTCACGATGCACTGACAGATCAATAGGTAGTGCCAAACCGTGTGAATAGAGAGAGAGTGGGCGTCCTTCTCTATGGAGAACTAGGTGCAGAGAGATAAAGCCGCGCATGCGCTCTGCAGATATTAGGTAACTGGGAGAAATTCCGCAGTACACCCCCCACCACACGCACACACAGACTTCCCGCCAAATAGAAGCTCAAGGAGATACAACGGTGAAATGTTAAATGTTCTTATTTCTAAACATCCTTTTCAAATGATTCTCTCATTGACATAATCTCACAGCATCAAACATACTGAACCCCAGAAATGAGCTTATGCTATATATTTGATTGGTGGAGACACATGAAGTGCATCAGGTCAATAGTGCTTTATTTTATAACAAAATATACAAAATTACTCAAATATATATTTACAGGTTATCAGGGATGTATAAAATAAACACTCAAAGGGCACCAGCTGGTGATCCTGGAAAGCAGTTAGCTGCATTTAGAAACCGGTAACATTGTGCAATGACCTTAAGGAGGTTGTTCACACTGATCCTTAAAATTTAGTCTTGTTGGTGTACTCTAATGTATTTAGGTTGACTGAGTGATTTAAAATTATATATAATACTGTTAATTTAAATGTATTATTATTATTTTATTGTAGAACATACTTTTACCAACAAGACCACAGTTTAGTCAGTCATAGCAGTTCTTAAAGATGGATTGTTCAATAAATTGTTCAGAATCATCAACTGACACTTACAGCTACTCTCCCTGACCACAGAAAGCTTTAGGCGGTATTGCTTATAAGATTCCCCAGCTGGTGACCACCGGAAGCGCATGTCCTTTTATAGAGAACACTAGAGTTCCCCAGTATTGTAGCGCTCGCCCACCTGCTTCATTGAAATGCAGAGCCACGCGAGCACTGCGACGCCCACGCGCCAAATCTGCCGGGAAGCGCCATAATCTCCATCATCTGCAGGAAAATTATGTCATAGTTATAACCTTCAGTCACCCGAATAGTAACATTTAAATCAATGGTAAATTAGGCAGATGTGCGTGCGCGAGTTCCTTGTTTGCGACAGTGTACATTTTAGCTTTGTCACTTATAAAAGGTTATAGATGAGCACGTGCGATCTTATGGTAGAGGTGAAATTAATAATCGTAGAGTTGTGCCACGTACCGCAATAGTGCGGCACAATTTACGTCACAATCAACACAGCAAGCAAATGCTTCAGCACCATGGACAGCAGTGACTCACTCTCACATTCTCTCTCAATCACACTCAGTCACGCGCATGCAAATCACACGCTTGATTCGGCCAGCTTTTTGTATTTTGAGATAAGTTTACTAGTTATAAATGTATAGTTTATCAATGATTTTTTTTATGAAGGCCCAGTGTAGTTTGGTCCACGCAGGGACTGCCTTTAACAAGGCCGTTTGATTACACTTTTGTCTTCTCTCCCGCCGTCGCAGTGGGCGGGGTGAAAGAATGCGGTATTTTTATGAATGAAATTACGACAGAGGCTGGTGTCCCTGAGAGTCTCCTGATTGGTCGGCCGGGGCAGAATCGCCCCTCGTCATCGTAACTGACGTCAGAGGGGAATCGGTGAGGGTATAGCTCACAGCCCACCGGAGCTGAGTGTTACATCGAAAGACCGAATACAGCGGAGCCACGAAGGAACCTCGCTTTGCAGGAAGAACAAGATATCGTTTTCTCAAGAACTGGATTTGCCCCGGTTCTTCACCGGCAGCTCGAGCTCAGATTTCAGCGCGCGCTCCAAGAGACCTTCAGCTGGATGGTGGCGTGAAGAATTGTCCTTTGCAATCTTCTACAGCTTCCGTAAGTCTGTTTTATACATCTTTATCTACTCTGTGAATTCTTGTTCAATTCAAGGTGACTCGTAGCTTTGCTGTCAGAAATTCGCTGTGCAAATACAGCGAGAATATTCAAGTCAATACGGGATGGCATTTTTGGTGCTTGTGTATTTTACATAACCTCGTATGTTACATCAGTCTGCTTAAAGAGCGCTTTGAACTTAAAAACGGTGATTCCCAACCAGGCGCACGTTAACCCTGCAGGATTCAGGGGATACCTGGACATATTTCGTTTGCTTATAAACCTATTAAAATTATGACTTGTGTGTAATTGTTGCAAGTTTATTTGAATTAATATTAATGATAATGCCATATGAATAATGTGAGTTCAGTTTTGCATGATGATAATAAAAGGTGGCAAATACATGTTAGCTTAAAGTTCAAAATTAGCCTTTCCATGAACAATGACTAAAGAAACATGAATGTAAATGCACATTACCTATACATAGACAAAATACCACATGACACTAAAACACTAAAATAAGGCAATATGCAGTTAATAAACAACATAAAATGTAACCTTCACCAACCCAATATGCATATATAGTATTGATAATAGTAAGAAATGTTTCTTGAGCAGCAAATCAGCAAATTAGAATGGTTTCTGAATGATCATGTGACACTAATGGCTGCTGAAAATTCAGCTTTGCCATCACAGGAATAAATTATGTTTTAAAATATATTAATAGAAGACAGTTATTTAAAATTTTAATATTTCACTATATTACTGTGTTGTTGATCAAATTAAAGCAGCCTTGGTGAGCATAAGAGACTTCTTTCAAAAACATTAAAAAATCTTACCAACCCCAAACCTTTGAAAAGTAGCATATATTATATTATATTATATTATATTATATTGTAACAGGTTCATATTGCAGAATTCTTACATATAATTAAATATACCTTTTACGTTAAAATTGTATTGTAATTGTAATGTAAACTTAAAAATTCAAATCAAATGTGCAATGTATGCATTTTGAGACTGACTAATAAAGTGTTTCATTAGCTTTTGCTTTTGCCTTTGCCAGCATCTCCAGTAGTACAGTAGTGTGCAAACTAGGGATGACAGTTTGAATACGATGTTGTAAACTGCTGTTCATCTTACTCTGCATGTCATTATGAGGTCAGGCCTTGGAGTGGAGCGCAGGAGCTCTAGTGCTCAACAGAATATGTGACAGTCACCGTGCTGTGAATTGCGTGACTACATCTTTTCTCACTCTCCCACAGTAATGGCCCTGAATAACTCTGCAGTGGGCTTAGAAGTCATCTTGGCGATGGACCAACTGTTGGAACTCACCCCTTCCCACGTCACCCCTAAACCCCTGGAGGCCACAGTGATGACTCCATGGGACGTGGCCCTGTGCATATCAGGAGCCCTGATTTGCTGTGAAAATGCAATCGTCGTGGCCACCATCTTCTCCTCGTCATCTCTACGGGCACCTATGTTCCTGCTAATCGGCAGCCTGGCCTGGGCGGACTTCCTGGCAGGGGTGGGACTCCTTTTGCACTTCCTGTCTCGCCGGTGTGTGTACTCAGAAGCTCTAGAGCTGGGGAGCGTGGGTCTGTTAGTCAGCGCGTTCAGTGCGTCCGTGTTCTCCCTGTTGGTAATCACCCTGGACCGTTTC